ATCTTTTTATCTCATATTTTTATCTCCTGTGTTTTGCATCATCTTTTATTTTACATTTGTATCTACTTTTACATCATCGTTTACATAATCTTTAATTTTCATTGTTTTAATCATTCTTTGTCGGATATTGATGATTAATTCATTTAAATTATTTATTTAATTAATTGATTCGTTTTAATTAATTTATTAATTTTATTCAAATGATTTAATCTATTAACTTCATTTATTGATTTGAATTCATTTTAGTGCTTAATGTCTTTAGATAAACATAACGCAATTCCCATTGATACACATGTCTGGCAAATTGCTAAACGAGAGTATGGATTTAATACAAAAGGAACAGCCACAAAAACGTTAACCACCCGGTTGTATGAAGCTATAGGAGATCATTTTCGGAATTTGTTTGGTGATTATAGTGGCTGGGCTCATTCGGTAAATTTTAATTCTTTTACATTATCTCTGTCATTTATATCATTTTAATTTTTTACATTATTCATTTAATTTAACCATTTAATCTAACCATTAAATTTATATTCATTTATTAAATTTATATTAAATTTATTAAATTTATATTAAATTTATCTTTGTTAGGTCTTGTTCACCGCGGATCTTAAAGCTTTTCAAGATAGACAGTCCTTTACCACGAGTGATACAATGTTTAAGAGTGAATTAGATTCGTCTGTTTTGATAGATTCTGATCAAATAGTTATCACCAAGAAAAAATCACGTTCTAAAAACATTCAAAAAGAATCAATATTATTGAGTAACAAGAGAATTAAGAGGTTCTAACATTTTCTAACATTTTGAAATGTTTTACAAATTGGCTATAATTTGTTAGTAATCAAATTAATAATATAATAAAGATAATATAATAATTAGTAATAATGTTTATAGTATAATAATGATATATAAAAATTGATTTAGTATAATAATGAAATATAATGATATATAATGATATATAATGATATATAATGATATATAATGATATATAATGATGATGTAA